CAAGCAAGCTCTATGTTACAATGCCATATATAGCCTGCACAGGCTAACTCCATGATGAATGCATGGTGTGGCATAGCATGTTTTTTGGAAAGCACCATGCATGAGCCTATACAGGCTGTCATAATCGCACAGCCTGTACAGGCTAACTCCAGCAAAGCATGTTGTGGCATAGCATGAATTTTTCAACACACTGCTTGCGATAATGTTATCGGCCACCCACCGTCACGGATCGCGAGTTGCATGGTGGTGCTTCACCACCCAAAAGGTACCATGCAACATGCTGGGTTACAGCTGCCCATGGCTTTCCCACACACAGTGACACGTGTGAAACATCACTGCATCTTTAACCCGTGTTTGCGAGCATACTCGAGCCATTCCGATCTCGTGAGACGTAGTCCTCCAAAGGCAGGGTCACGACATTGATCGCATCCATTGACTGCTCCTCTGCACCGGAGGCATCCACCTGCAGCCTTAGCCGCCTGAGCCGGGGGATTCTTCTTGGTGGTGGCGGCCTTGGCGGCGGCGGGTCTCTTACACATTTTCTTTGTCTTCGGCTTCTTGCTTTGAAGTTTATCAAAGGCTTTCTGCTCGAAGTCGGCCAAATTGGTGCCCTGCTTGTTTTCATCCTCAGCTGCTGGAGTGCCCTCGTCCATGTGTTCCTCCTTGTCGGCAGCAGGAGCTGCTGCATCCTCGATTGCAGCAGCCTGTCGCTCACCCAACACTTGCAAGCCCTTCACTTGAAACTCGGTCGTGGACTGAGGCTGCATCTGCTGATGCATGTGCTGGGCCAACAAAGCAGCTGACTTTTGACAAAAGTTGTTCATATGCTCCATGAACATGTTGGCACCACCCATCATTTGTGGATTAACAAACTGCATCTGGCCACTCGTGTGGCTGCTGTTGCCAGCCATCATTGGGTGAGCCATATGCATGTGGCTGCCGTTGCCACCCATCATCATTTGGGGACTAGCCATGTGCATCTGGCCGCCATTGCCAGCCATCATCTGGGGACTAGCTAGTGGCATCTGGCCACTCGTGTGGCTGCCATTGCCAGCCACAACCAGCTGCAAATTGCCACTCGGTGCCGATGCCTCGCCCTGACCCGGCACACCACTCGACGGAGCAGCTCGCTTGTTGCTCTTCTTCGTTCCCTGCTTGCAAGCACATGTGCCATGCAGGTGTGTGTAACAAGCCATAAGACATGCATGTTTCTTACCAAGCATGTAAATGCTTTGTGTTAAAAGCCCGCCTTGAACATGACTTGGTTGCTAGAAGACCGAATCGGGGTAGAATGAATCCGGACTTGTGCCAAACCCGGACACTCCTTGTTCACCGGCTGCTCGTCGGGGTAAGAAGCTCGCAGGTGATCGGGTGGAAGATCCCCAGGGGAGGCAGGGAAGTGGAGCAAATGCTGAGCTCCCTGCGGCATTTCGGTGGGGCAAGTCTGGAAAGCCGAAGTGAGGTGCTCGGCCAAGGAGTAAACCACATCTCCACATGGATGGCTCTGGCCCTTCTTGATGTGGACCCATACCAACATGGCTGTAGCCGCTTTCTTCGTGGATTCTTTGAGTGACCGGACACCCAAAAGCTTGAGACGATGTGACACCACACTACATCCTTCCCACATAGTCATGGACTCCAGCTTTTGCCATTCTGAGCTCGTGAAGTACATGTGGATGTTGGCACAATGTTGGGGCACAACCGTCTCTTTGGTCGACCCAGTCGGCACACCCGACAAAACTTTCTGGTCCACCACCTGAACCAACTGGTCGTACATGTCGCTAGGCAAAGAGGCGCTTTTCAAGAGCTCATACAACTCCACAATCTGACTGGGTTGCAACTGTGGCATGAGCTCCAGCTTGTGCTTGATTTGGCCCAACAAGGAAGCTTTGAGCTCCTTCACATTGGGCCGTGCCACCAGCAAGAGCTGGATGCTCTGCAGCTCATTGGCTATGTCCTTCACGGTCCACTGCGACATGATTACTGATCCAAAATGACTGCATTGTGTCTGTCTCATAGCATGCATGATACGACCACTGCACATCTACAATGAAAGCATGCAAAGGCTCATGGACTCATGCACGACAACCAAAACAAGCCTGTCTAGGCTGATACACAACAACCACATGCAAGCCTGTATAGGCTGATACAAAACAACCAAAACAAGCTTGTATAGGCTGATAGACAACAACCAAAACAAGCCTGTACAGGCTGATACACAACATCAAAAACATGCCTGTATAGGCTGATCGACAACATGAAAAAGAAGCCTGTGCAGGCTGATGCACTTATTGCTTTTTTACCTCTTGCATCGGCCTGCTGCCAGCTGTTGTTTGCCTTGCATGAATTGCATGCAGCAATGCACAAGTTCAAGCAAAGGGCCCCTATGAGCAGGACACACAAGGGCCAATAGGATGCATTTTTAATTGGGCTCCAATCCCTCCTCAGCGGTATCGTTGCTCTTGTGTTCAGCAGCAAGCTCACTGTGTCTGGAAGCAGTCACCCCAAAAAAAACTCTCCACCGTTCCTGGCTCAGGGCATACTCAGTAATAATTCCATCTTGCATCACGACAACCTGTGCATCTTCTGCACCGTCCAGGATTGTGTCTCCAACATAGCACGGCACAGCTGCAGCTGCTTGTGTCGATGACATGGCAGCAAAACTTCTTAGCTACAGGTCTTAGGTTGTGTGTTCTTGTTAGTGAAATCGTAGACTTTTGTGTGCATTGCAATCCTTGTATAACATGCTACACGAAGTCATTACATTATTTGGTTGTTGTTTGCTGGTCTTGTCGGTCTAATCCACGTGATTCGTTCAATTTAGGATTCTAAATTCAAATGGTACCCTTAGGTATTTGAATTTAGAATTCTAAATTGAATTTCAACCTTTGGCAATTTCAATTTAATGCTTTAAATTGAAATCCATGCTTCAGTTCAGAATCCTAAATTCAAATCTGAAGGGTCCGGATTTGAGTTTAGAAACCTAAATTCAAATCTGAAGGGTCCGGATTTGAGTTTAGAATCCTAAATTGAGGTGTTTGCCCCTGGATGGTAGCCCTTGCCTACAATAGCACGTGGTTTGAGCACAATTTTGCACAAGGACAC